GACAGTGCAGCGGCGGAGGCGGTGGCGGCAGAGCAGCAAGGCTGCATTGGCCCGCCGGAGTGGGCAGGTTGTGCCTCGCTGCTCGGCCCTGCGGCCCTGGCCGGGTCCACAGGCCCACACACTGCAGCGGCCTGCCGGAGCGGGCAGGTCATGCCTTCCTTCCTGCTCGCCCCTGCGGCCCCCGGCCGGGTCCACAGGCCCGGACACTGCGGCGATCAGCCCGCCGGAGTGGTAACAGGCCTTGACACTTCAGCAATGGGGCTGAGGGGACTGGGGCGCTGCCATCTTTGTGACAGAGTGACAAGGTGATGGTTAATTTCCCATACTACTCTTTTATTAGATAGGGTAGCTGGGAAATAACAAAGCACTGTCAAGCTCTTGGGTTATCTATGAAATATAATGTAATTAGGCCATAAGGAACCATGTAAGTTATAAATCACGAAAAGTCCTCTATACTATTTTCGTACTTTGTACATGCTATTACTGCACCTATCGCTCTATGTAGTTTTATTTTATTTACAGGTCTCCAACCTCTCTAGAATATAAGCTCCACATGGGCAGGTAATGTTTTTATTTTTTTGCTTTGATAATACTTAGCATTTAAGATGCATTCAACTAATGTTTATTGCACTGAAGGAAACCACTTTAAAGAAACAAGAGATTGCCGAAACCGGTTTGGCTCGGTGGATAGAGCGTCGGCCTGCGGACTGAAAGGTCCCGGGTTCGATTCCGGTCAAGGGCATGTACCTGGGTTGCGGGCACATCCCCAGTGGGGGGTGTGCAGGAGGCAGCTGATCGATGTTTCTCTCTCATCGATGTTTCTAACTCTCTATCTCTCTCCCTTCCTCTCTGTGAAAAATCAATAAAATATATTAAAAAAAAAAAAAAAAAAAGAAACAAGAGATAGTACTTGGGGTATTTAGTTATATACACCTAAGAAATTTACAAGGCTAAGTTCTAGGGGAGAAACCACTATATTAAACCAACCAATTAACCCTCTTTCAAAATAATCCACATAAAATTTATGAAACAAAAGGCTTTTTAAAAAACCCATCCAATTTGCAAACCCACCAAAGCTGTTTGCAGCAGCTTTTCCATATGAATGTCTTGCCTGGCTCAGGCTTCGGACTTTCCTAAAATCTTTCAAACAAGCAGCAGCTGGCATCAGTATGCCCCATACCTATCAATAGGTGCCCAAGACTCAGCATTAGCACCAACCTATGTTGATTCACAGCTTGGCCTCGCCTGAACACTTCTAAGCCCAATATAAGTAGCAGCCATCTGCAGATTGCTCTGTAGCTCCTGCCAGGTGGCCTCAGGCAATACCTGACTTTGCACCTCCCAGGAGGCCCCAGAACCAGTGCACCTGGTGGACAGCTTCAGACCATACTAGAGTACAACTCTACACATCCAAAAGCGACACACTCAAGTGGCAGACTCAGTGAGCACCAAAGCCCCACTGAAGCAAGTCCTGCTCCACAGGGGTGTCTCCTGCACAGCAGCTCTTCCATTATAGTCACAGCTGGTCCTCACAGCCAATTGGTCTGGAGGTCAATTCCTCCCAATGATGCCAACGGCAATCAAGGCTCAACTACAACAAGAGTGTGCACATAGCTCACTCGGGGGCACTGCTAGAGTACCCTACACAGTTCAGGTGACTGTGGAGGCTGAACTACTGGACCCTACAGGACACCTCCTATACAAGGCCACTCTACCAATTCCAGGAGACACAGAAGCTCTGCCTAATAAATAGATATAAACTCAGGGAAGCAGCCAAAATGTGTACACAAAGAAATGTAACAAATGAAAGAACAGAACAAATCCTCAGAAAAAGAACTAAGTAAAATGAAAGCAAGCAAACAACTACATATAGAGTTCAACACAATGGTTATAAGGTTGCTCAGGGATCTTAATGAAAGCTTCAAGGGACTTAGTGAGACTTTCAAGGACCTTAGCGAGAATTTCAAAGACATGAAAAAGGACCAGTCAGAAATTAAGCACACACTAACTGAAATGAATAATTTACTGGGACTAAACAGTACAGTAGAGGATTCCGAGAATCAAATGAATGATTTGGAATATGAGGAAGCAAAAAAAAAAAAAAAACACACCCAATCATAAGAGCAAAAAGAAAAAAGAACCCCAAAATATGAAGATAGTGTAAGGAGCCTCTGGGACAACTTCAAGCATACCAACATTAGCATCATGAGGGTACCAGAAGGAGAAGAGAGAGAACAAGATATTGAAAACCTATTTGAAGAAATAATGACAGAAACCTTCCCCTATCTGGTGAAAAAAATAGACTTACAAGTCCAGGAAGCGCAGAGAGTCCCAAACAAGAGGAACCCAAAGAGGCCCACACCAAGATATATCTACAATAATAAAAGTATAATATGCTAATTAGGCCAGATGTTTTTCCAGACGACCTTCTGGATGAAGCCGGGGCCCCAGGTGCCTGACAGCAGCTGGAGGGAAGCCCAGGTCCTGGGTGCCAGAGGGAATCCAGTGCCGGCAGCCAGGGGAAGAAAGGCCTACTCTTGCACAAATTTTGTGCATCGGGCCTCTAGTCATAAATAAAATGCCAAGGGTTAAAGACAAAGAGAGAATCTTAAAAGCATAAAGACAAAAGCAGTTAGTTACCTACAAGGGAGCACCCATATGACTATCAGCTGATTTCTCAACAGAAACTTTTCAGGCCAGTAGGGAGTGGCAAGAAATATTCAAAGTGATGAAGAGCAAGTACATATAATCAAGATTGCTCTACCCAGCAAAGCTCTCATTTAGAATTGAAGGTCAGATAAAGAGTTCACAGACAAGAAAAAGCTAATGGAGTTCATCACGACCAAACCAGTATTATATGAAATGTGGTATTCTTTAAGAAGAGGAAGAAGGAGAAGGAAAAAAAAAAGATAAAAAATATGAACAATAAAATGGCAATAAATACATATCTATCAACAATTGAATCTAAAAATCAAAATAGATGAACAAGAAATATAATGAACAAAACAAACTGATGAATAAAATAGAACCAGAGGCATGGAAATATGGAACAGACTGATGAATCTCACATGGAAGGGAAGAGGGGGGAATGAGAAGAAATTAACCAAAGATCTTATATGAATGCTAGAGGCCCAATGCACGAAATCTGTGCAAGAGTAGGCCTTCCTTCCCCCAGCTGCCGGCACCGGCTTCCCTCTGGGACCCGGGACCCGGGCTTCCCTCTCTCTTGCCACTGGCAGGCACCCGGGACGGACCTGGGTTTCCCTGCGGCTGCCAGCAGGTACCTGGGACCCAGGCTTCCCTTGCAGCCCCAGCTTCATCCAGAAGGATGGAAGGACATCCAGAAGGATGTCAGTCTAATTAGCATATTATGCTTTTATTGTTATAGACTAGAGGCCCGGTGCACAAAAATTTGTGCACTCGGGGGGGAGGGGAGGGTCCCTCACCCCGGCCTGTGCCCTCTCGCAGTCTGGGACCCCTCAGGGGATGACCACCTGCTGGCTTAGGCCCGCTCCCCGGGGGATTGGGCCTAAGATGGCAATCAGACATTCCTCTGGCAGCCCAGCAGCCCTCGGGGGATGTCCAGTTGCCAGCGGGGAGCAGGCCTAAACTGCAGTCAGACACCCTTAGCGCTGCTGAGGAGGTGGGAGAGGCTCCCACCACCACCGCTGTACTGGCAGCCATCAGCCTGGCTTGTGGCTGAGCAGAGCTCCTCCCACGTGAGAGCGACCTGACCACCAGAGGGCAGCTCCTGCATTGAGAGTCTGCCACCTGGTGGTCAGTGTGTGTCATAGTGACCAGTCATTCCCAGTCTTTCTGCTGTTAGGGTCAGTTTTCATATTACCCTTTTACTATATAGGATAGAGGCCAGATGCACGGGTGGGGGCCGGCTGGTTTGCCCTGAAGGGTGTCCTGGATCAGGGTGAGGGTCCCGCTTGGGTGCCTGGCCAGCCTGGATGAGGGGATGATGGCTGTTTGCAGCTGGTCATACCCCCTTCAGGGTGGGGGTCCCCACTGGGGTGCCTGGCCAGCCTGGATGACGGGCTGATGGCTTTTTGCAGCTGGTCACACCCCCTTCAGGGTAGGGGTCCCCACTGATGTGTCTGGCCAGCCTGGATGACAGGCTGATGGCTGTTTGCAGCTGGTCACACCCACTTCAGGGTGGGGGTCCCCACTGGGGTGCCTGGCCAGCCTGGATGATGGGCTGATGGCTGTTTGCAGCTGGCCACACCCCCTTTAGGGTGGGGGTCCCCACTGGGGTGTCTGGCCAGTCTGGGTGAGGGGCTGAGGACCGTTTTCAGGCTGGAGGGTGACTGAAGCTCCCAGCCTCTTTTTTTTTTTCTTTTTTTTTTCTGGGATTTATTTACCTTCTATAGCTGTCACTGGAGCTGAGAGCCGGTATCTGAGTTTGTTTAGCTTCTATAATTGAAACTCTGTTACCATCACTGGCGCTCTAACCTCTGAGCCCGTTGCTGGCTGAAAGCAGGTATCTGGGGTTTGTTTAGCTTCTATAATTGCAACATTGTTGCATCCGGAGCTCAGAGGTGGGCTGAGGCAGGCGGGGAACCTTGGCTTCCTCCATCACTGGAGCAAGCAAGCCTCCTGCTCGCTTCAGCTGGGTGGCTGCCGGCTGCCATCTTTGTTGGCAGTTAATTTGCATATCCTGCTGATTAGCCAATGGGAAGGGTAGCGAAGTTATGGTTAATTACCATGTTTCTCTATTATTAGATAGGATATGTATTACTTATGAACACAGACAATAGGGTGGTGAAGGCCTGGAGTGGAATAGGAACCTGGTGGAGGAGGGCAATGGGGGAAAAAAAGGGGGACATCTGTAATACTCTCAACAATAAAGATTTTTTTAAAAAAGCATAAAATTACCTTGAATTTTCTTTGGTAACTTAAAAATATCTACAACTAAAAAGGTTCAATTTTACAATAAACACAAATTATTAATAACAGTGAACTTTCACCTAATAAGAATAATACATGATTAATACCTGAGGGAACTGTTGTTGGGGTTTTTTAGGTCCTGATGAAGTTTTATCACCCATTCCTGATACTCTTGTTTTTGGATGGCAGTCGATTGTTTTAATTCATTTGACCATTTATTTTCTAAGTCCTAAACACAGACAATATACCAACTAGTTAATTTTTTTATGAAAATAAGTAAGAAAAAAAAAAGTAACTGCATATCTAAAATCCATTGTACTTTACTTACTTGTTGGGATTCAAAATGCTGAGCAGCCAGTGAATTTACATCTTGATCTGTCAGTGATTTTCCCAACTCTTGCATCACTTTTTCCATTTCAATACCTTGTCTAAAACATAAATAAGAAGATCACATATATCATTAGAATTTTAAGGTAATATGACCACTCCAGATTCATTGAACAATCTCTAGAAAGTAAAAATAAAATTTTTATTTTAAAGGAATATGTCCAAGAATGGCAACTATAATACCTGGAAAATATTATTAAGCCTTTTAAGTGGAGATGTGGAAATAATAATGATAATTTCATATAATATTAACAACATCATTTGTGAAGCTAAATTTTTATTTATTAATTGATTGATTTTAGAAAGAGGGAGGGAGAGAGAGAAAGAGAGAAATATAGATTTGTTGTTCCACTTATTTATGCATTTATTAGTTGCTTCTTATGTATGTGCCCTGACCGGAGATTGAACCCACAACTTTTGTGTATCGGGATGATGCTATACGCAACTGAGCTACCCAACAACGGCCTTGTGAAGCTAAATTTTAATCTAAATTTAATGCAAAATGAAAGCCGTCAAAATCTAGGTCATCTTTCAATTTCCATGGCTGTTTAAAAGTCCAAACCCCATTTCATCTGAAGATTTCCTCAAAGATATTCTGCAATTCCAACTTAAACGCATTTTCTATTTATTTATACATGAGTAAAAGTAACTCCAATCTTTGAAAGTTAGTTTATAAATAGAAGCTGCCAATTAGACTCTAAGAATCAAACTGCTATTAAGTCACAAGTTGCCTTTACAGAGAAATATAAAATACTACTAAAAATATGCTTTAGTCTTACCTTATTCATCTATCCAAATAAATAATGTGCAGACACTAAAAATGGTTTTCCCTACAGGAAAAACTAATCAATAGTATTATAAGTTCATATAATGGTTATTTATGGGGGATATTGGTAGTGACTAGATGGACACCAGGAAGCCTTTGGCAGTGCTGGAAATACTCTATTTCTTGAGCTGGGTGATGATTACAGGGTGTACTTACTTTGTAAAAGTTTAGTGAGTTTACACCTACAGTTTGTTGCCTTTCTGTAATGTTATATTTTAATAAGTTCATTCAAATTTTCAAATTAAAAATTATCTTTTAATGCAAATGTGTTAAAAAGTTTGTTCTAAAACATATTTTAAACAAACTTAGAAAGAATGAAACAGACATCAACTAAAAGAATTTTACATCATTCTAGTTAATTTAAATAAACGCTCTTAGAAGCAAGTTCATACTTCTTTATAACAACTGATTAAGATACTTATGTATCTGATAAATGAAATTTATCCATACATCAGACATTTACATATTTCTATACATATCTTCTAATATTAAATATTCAACACCACTTAGTCCCCACTTAATTCTAATGTAGGTGACCCCCTTAACTTTTTAATAACTACTAGAGGTCAGGGGAAGATTATGCTAGCAAGTAAGATTTTTATTTAAAACAGAAAGAACTGCTAAATATTTATAAATACAAACTTCCATATGAATGTATTAATATTTTACATTACACAGTTCCCTCTAGTGGATAAAATATATCACTGCCATTTTTACATTTAAAAAAATATCTTGAATCTGGTATGCCAAAAGAAGCAAATTTCCAGTGGGGAAAAAGAAAGACTAATAAATAAGAACTCAACAAATAAAATGTCACGAATATTTTTTTACCTTAAATGTATCAGAAACACAAGTAGCTAATGATATATAAGATGCGGCAAAAGTAGGTTTACAGTTGTTTCTATAAAAAATACCATAATTAACAAATAATACAATAAACTCTGTTTCATGTACTCACAACTATAAACCTACTTTTGCCCCACCCTGTATTAATAACACAGTATATATTTTTTATGATTAAGATCAAAGGGAATATTATATTTCAGACATATGTATGTAAGGCATGACAATTCTGACAACTGTATATAATCTTGAACACACTCTGGAAAAAAAGATCATAATAACTGCACTGATGCTGTGCTTAGAAACTGTCTTTTTAAATATATATACTTTATTGATTTTTTACAGAGAGGAAGGGAGAGGGATAGAGAATAAGAAACATCGATGAGAGAGAAAGCTGCATGCCCTTGACCGGAATCGAACCTGGGACCCTTCAGTCTGCAGGCTGACGTTCTATCCACTGAGCCAAAATGATTAGGGCAGAAACTTTCAAAGATGTAAAATAGAATTAAAATAAAAGGAGATATAGGAAAATGTGTCACTTCTGCTTACACATTGGATAAATGAATTAAGCAAAATTTTGGGTGAAATTCCACAAATACTAGTGAATTCCAACTTACCTTAAGTATACTGTTCACCTTTGCGATAAATATTATGGACCTTAAGAGCAACATAGCTCATATTTCCTTTTTAAGCTAACAGTTTGGATATGTGAAAGATAAACTATAAAACTGTTTTAAAAAGAAATGTATTGCCCAGTTGACATGGCTCAGTGGTTGAGCGTTGACCTATGAACCAGGAGGTCATGGTTTGATTCCCTATCGAGGCACATGCCCAGGTTGCAAGCTCGATCCCTAGTGGGGGATGTGCAGGATGCAGCTAATCAATGATTCTTCTCATCACTGATGTTTCTATATCTTTCTCCCTTCTCCCTTCCTTTCTGAAATCAATAAAAATATATTAAAAAAAGAAATGTATTCAAATATTGATTATATTTTAGAAAGAAAAAAAGCAAAGTCCTATCAAGAAGTTTGGTCAAAGGACATTTCAAAAATATAACGTAACAGCCTGGCCAGTGTGTCTAGTGGTTAGCACCAACCTATGGAGCAGGAGGTCACGGTTTGGTTCCTGGTCAGGGCACATGCCCTGGTTGTGGGCTGAATCCCCAGTGTGGGGTATGCAGGAGGTGGCCGATCAATGTTTCTCTCTCATCAATGCTTCTATCTCTCTATCCCTCTCTTTTCCTCTCTATAAAATCAATAAAAACATTTTTTAAAATAATAGCATAATAAAACTTTATTAAAAACTATTCCAGGATAGAGGGGGAAAAAGTCTAAAGTTCCAATAAATGCAGAAATTTAGTAAGTTAATTCAGCTTCCCAAAAGGTAAAAGTCTCAGAATACTGATGGTCACTACTGAAGTTTTCTGGGAGATGTAGTGACTAGGCAGCAAAATGGGCCACAATTTAGAGTAGCTCCCCAGATGAATAAAAGGACAGTAAAAGCTATTGATATAAACTATAGATGGCCACGTTGGGAATTTTTTCATATACCTTAATAGGCAGAATGACTATAGTCCCAGAAAACCTGAGATCCAAGAACAAATTCAGAATGAGTTATATTAGTTGAAGCCCTGGTAGGAAAATTCGTACATGGGTAGGTGCATAAAATTCGTACACGGGTAGGGTCCCTAGGCCTGGCAGGCAATCAGGGCCGATTGGGGCCTTCCTTTGTTCTGCACCGCCCCCTGGTGGTCAGCACACATCATAGTGAGCGGTCAAACTCCCGAGGGGACAATTTGCATATTAGCCTTTTATTATATAGGATATTTAAAAATCTAATTTTATTTTGTTCTTATCTTAAAAATATATTCACAATTTTATTGGCTACATAATAAAGAACTAGAAAAAAGAATGTTTCTCTCCCCCAGGGACACAGCTTCAACTCTTTACCCAGTGGCAACTACCCATACTACAGGTATCCCATCTAGAAAAAAATAAACTGCTTCAAAACAGCTAATCAGCAAACCCAAACACATAAAGAGTGACAAATGCCTCAAAACATCATGTTCTTTTTGAACCAGAAACAGTTCTAATATCTTATTGGATATAAGAATAAAAAGTCCAAAGGAGTTGAATTATTATGAAAAGTTACAAATCTATGCAATATAGGAATACTGATCTGATACACAAAAGACAGTAGCCACAGAAAAAATGATTAAATCTATTTGCTATGATTTCTGTGTTTTAAGTTTTTTTTTAAACTATGACAACCCTCAAAGTAACACATTATTCTCATCTTGCTAGTCCCAAAGTTTCTAATGAGAAGCTAATGAAGGCCAGAAGCAAACCAGTACATCATTTTAAATTTATTTCTTTGGGACTGATTTCATAATATGTAATTTTTCCTAATAAACTTTCACAATTAAAGAAATTTTACATCAGCAACACTAAAAATTATCTTAATGCCACATATACCTAAAGTCTTATAAATAAATGTTTTTAACTTAATGTAATTAGAGTCAGCTAGATCAAAATGGGTTATTTGGAAGAAACGTGTCCTGAATTACTAATTATAGAATTACTAGGAAGCAGTCTAGAAAGTTATGCTTTAAAATAATGCTAGCAATTTTTTACTTACTCTGAAGAAAAAAGTGGATCATAAAAACACTGCATACTCTATTAAGTAATTCATACAAAATGAATTCAAATCTAATCAACATTTCTTGTAATATTGTTAGTGTTTTTGCCTTTTCCCCCCGAATGTAAATAAACTTACAAAATGAACTGAGACTATGGACTTAGTCACAGCAAGGTTTTAAATGGGTCCTGAATAGGGAGGCAGTATGGTATAGTGCAGTGATGGCGAACCTTTTGAGCTCGGCGTGTCAGCATTTTGAAAAACCCTGACTTAACTCTGGTGCCGTGTCACATATAGAAATTTTTGGATATTTGCAACCATGGTAAAACAAAGATTTATATTTTTGATATTTATTTTATATATTTAAATGCCATTTAACAAAGAAAAATCAACCAAAAAAATGAGTTCGCGTGTCACCTCTGACACGCGGGTCATAGGTTCGCCATCAGAGTGCTTAATAGCTTTAGAGTCAGACTTCCTGGTTTCAAATTCTAGCTTTTCCTTAGACAAGTTACTATAGCCTCAGTTTCCTCATCTGCATAATGGGTATAACAGTAGGATTTTGGTAAGGATGAGATAGGGCACCTGTTATGAACTGAATGTCTGTGTCCCCTCCAAGTTCATATGTTGAAACCCTAATCCCACGCCACCCCCCCAATATGATGGTATTGAAGGTAGGGCTTTTGGGGAGGTAATTAGGCTTAAAAAAGACCACGAAGTTAAAGTCCACATAATGGAATTAAAGGAAGAGATGCTAGAGCTCTCACTCTAGAACTCTCACTCTAGAAAAGACACAGTAAGAGCACACAGTGAGGAAAGGCCATGTGAGCACACATCAATAAGGTACTATCTATAAGCCAGGAGTGAGAAACAAATTTCTGTTGTTTACACTACCCAATGTATGGTATTTTGCTATAGCAGCCTGAACTGACTAAGACAGCATCCAAAGCACTTTGTACAGAAATAAGCTGTTCTTATGAGAAATAGAATATATAAAGTCACCATTATTTATTTCAATAAATCACTTGAGAAGTTTTATAAACTTATGAGGATTTCCCAATTGAAATTACACATTTAAACACACAAGAAAATTAATTTCTAATATTAAAGAATTTTTTCTATTTATTCTTATATTTTATAACAAAATAAAAACAAGTTCTGCAGGACACATTTGACGATGTAACATTTAATTATGATAGTGCAAGAAATTTTAAATACCTCTCTCGTAATTTTTTCAGCTCCACGTCTCTTTCACCAATCAGTTCTGAGATACTAACAAAGTAATTATGTTCCAAATTTAGGAGCGTTTCAGAGGCAGGAGAATGAATTAGGTCATGGTACACATCTGCAAAATCTTCATCCCAGCTGGGCTCTTCAGGCTTGCATGCTCTAATGTGGTCTACAAATGATACACAGACATTCTTAAATCACGATGTAGGGTTTTTTATTTAACACACTACCAGAAAAGCATGTATATTATGATTCTATTTTTGTACATCAGACAAGGACAGAAAGACCTTGTCTTTTTATATATGTGTATATATTGGTTATCTAGGATTATCTGAGTACACATGCAAAAATTAAAAGATGTCAACTAAGTTGTTAACATGGGTTATCTGGAGGCAGGGATGGGGAGGGGCTAATGTGGAGGAAGAGATGAGAAGTGTCCACAATAAAAACAAAACAAAACACTATGCTATAACCCAATTTCTGTAAAATAGCAAGGATGTGATCAACAAAATGCTAATGATGGCTATTTCAGGACAGTGGGATTGGTGATGACCTTTGCTTTTATATAACTAGAGGCCCAGTGCACAAAAATCGTGAATGGGAGGGAGGGGGAGTCCCTCAGCCTGGCCTACACCCTCTCCAATCTGGGACATCCCTCTCACAATCCGGGACTGCTGGCTCCTAACCGCTCACCTGCCTGCCTGCCTGATCGCAACCTAACTGCTCCCCTGCCAGCCTGGTTGATGCCTAACTGCTCCCCTGCTGGCCTGATCGCCCACAACTGCCCTCCCCTGCTGCGACCTGCCTCCTCCGCCGGGCCCTGCCTCCGCTGTGCACATGGCCATCTTGTGACAGCCATCTTGTGACGACGTTAGGGCGTGATGCGTGAGGGCGTGATGACCACCTAGGCCCGTGGTCGGCAAACTGCAGCTCACGAGCCACATGTGGCTCTTTGGCCCCTTGAGTGTGGCTCTTCCTAAGCCTTAGGAGTACCCTAATTAAGTTAATAACAATGTACCTACCTATATAGTTTAAGTCTAAAAAATTTGGCTCTCAAAAGAAATTTCAATCGTTGTACTGTTGATATTTGGCTCTGTTGACTAATGAGTTTGCTGACCACTGACCTAGGCTATTATTAGTATAAATGTACTAGAGGCCTGGTGCACACATTCGTGCACTCAGGGGGGGACGGGTAGAGGGGATCCCTCAGCCCGGCCTGCGCCCTTTTGCAGTCCGGGAGCCCTCGGGGAATGTCCAACTGATGGCTTAGGCCTGATCCCCTGGGGAGCAGGCCTAAGCTGGCAGTCAGACACCCCTCTGCAGCCTGGGAGCTCTCAGGGGATGTCTGACTAAGGGAGTGGGCCTAAGCCATTAGTGCTGCCACGGAGGTGGGAGAGGCTCCTGCCACCACCACTGCGCTGGCCAGCCATGAGCCGGCTTCGGGCTGAACAGTGCTCCCCCTATGGAAGCATACTGACCACCAGGAGGCAGCTCCTGCGTTGAGCGTCTGCCCCCTGGTGGTCAGTGTGCATCATAGCGACTGGTCGTTCCGCTGTTAGGGTCAATTTGCATATTACTCTTTTATTATCTATAATAATAAAAGCATAATATGCTAATTAGACTGGACAGCCAAACGACTTTCTGGACATCATTTTGGACACCCTTCCGGACCAAGCTGTGGCAGCAGGGGCCGAGGCAGAGGCGGTTAGGGGCGACGAGGCAGGCAGGTGAGAGGTTAGGAGCAATGAGGCAGGCAGGCAGAGTGGTTAGGAGCCAGCGGTCCTGGATTGTGAGAGGGTGCAGGTCAGGCTGAGGGACCCCCTCCCCATGCATGAATTTGGTGCACCGGGCCCCTAGTATAGGATAATAAAAGGGTAATATGCAAATTGTCCCCTCGACTGGGAGTTCGACGGAGCTCGACCAGGGGTTGGGGCTGGCCTGCCAACCTTCTGCATCCCCTTCCCCCAGCCAGCACTGGGCTGCTGGGGCCAGAGCCAGTGGGGAGACAAGCCCTCAGGGGGTCTGGACCTCAGCCCCAGTCCTCGCAGCAGTGGCGCTGGGCTACTGGGGCCGGAGCCAGCGGAGACACAAACCTGCAGAAGATGGCCCTGATTGAGCCGGTCCCTATGACGCCCAGTGTAGCCAGCTAACCAGCCCGATCAGGGGGTGGGGCCATCAGCCAACCTCGCAGCCCCTCCCCCCTGCCAGCCTGCCCCTTATATTACTCTCCCATCCTGATCAAGAGCAAGGCGCACAGAGTCTGGACCCTTCCTGGCAGCCCCGAGTCTGTGGGGTTGAGAATTCTGATGGCCCTGCCCCAGAGAGTAGAGGCGCCTGATGGGCAGGGACAGGGACCACAGGCCTCCAGGGAGCACTGCAGAGTTGGCAAGGAGAGGAGAGGGCCTGTGAAGGGGGAGGAGGTGAAGCCAGCCAACATCAGCCCAGAATCCAGCCCTTCCCCTCCAGAAGCAGCAAGACCTAAACCCAGAACACCAGCCCGAATCGGAAGAGCCCTAGGGAGGCTTCAGGAATCTCTACGCAAAGCTGCGCGTTGAGAACTAGAGACTTCGTGAGGCCCTGACCCAGACCACACTGGGGCTGGCGCAGTTAAAGGGTGGAGCTGGAGCGCACCACGCAGAGGCAGGAGTGCTTTGCAGAGAGGCCGGCCCTCCTGGAGCTGGAGATTTTGAGCACCGGGCCCTGGAGCGCAAGGCTGGAAGAGGAGCTAAAGGGCCTGTCCAACTTCTGGGCTGACAACCAGTGCCTCAAGGAGAACGCAGCGCTGATCCGCATCATCAGCAAACTGTCCAAGTGACCCCAGAGACTTGCCCCTGCACCCACATTTATACAGCTG